AATCTTATGGAACGTCTCTTCATCATCGCTCCAATCATGGACAAGTGCAGGAGTAGCCTTTGAGCTTGGTGCTTCGGTGTTGGGAGCAGTGTTAAATAGATGAGGATCGTGGCGTTTGTTGCATTTGTCTCCATACCGACACTTGCCCTTGGCCCAATGCCAGCATGGTTCATCAATCTTCTTGGTCTTGTTTGCCGGAGATTGACTTCTTGGAGTTCCTGGCTTCCGACCATTCCCTTTTGCGTTCTTATTCGCCTCGAACACCTTTTGATCATGACTGTATTCACAATCTTTGCCTTTTCTGCATGACTTCTTGATGAAATGGAAATGGCATGGGATCTTCTTCTTGGATCTGGGGCTGGTACTTCGGCTGTTTGCTCGATCCTTCCCTTTCCCTTGACCTTTTCCTTTTCCTTTCGCATGCTGTTTAGGCTGAGGTGATGGTAGAACTGGAGCTGCATCGGCCTTGGCCTTCGCCTTGGGCGCTGCCTTCTCCTTGGGAGTAGCTTTAGGCTTCGCTTTTGGATTTGCATCCGGTGCAGCGGCAGTTGGGTTCGGAGCAGGAGCTGAAGGTTTGCCGCCGCCTGCAAAGTCTCTCGCATACTTCTCTCTGGCTGCCACATGCTTGTCCTCTCTGATTCTGGAGATGTGCCTTTCGATGACATCCAACAGGTAGCGATAATTTCGTCTTTGGTCTCCTTCCATCCATGACTCGTACTGCTTGATGTCGAACATCATAAGACTCGAATTTCGAATCTTCTTGTATAGAGCGTCACGAAGCCAATCATCAGGAGGTACGTCATCCGGCATCATGTTTGATACCATCTCCATCCATTTCTCGTAGAACACTTCTAGGTTCGAGTCACCGAGATACTTCATCGATACGATGTGTTCCATGGTGAAGGATGTTTCTCGTTGACCTGGGGTTCTGAAGTGCTCCAGAATCATAGCCAAGATTTCCCGTCCCATGACATAGGTTCCTCTTCGGCTATGACTTTGTGTTCTCAATCTCAATTTGATCGCTACATGACGAGCAACATCACCGGCTTGGGCTATCACGTTTGACAATGCAATTGACAACTTGGCGTCGATGGACTGATACCGTTGCCCCCCACTGTCATTCAACAGCTCGATGTCAGGATTTGGTCGAATAGCCGGCTGTAGCCATGCTTCCCATGCGGCTTTATCCCCGTCATTTGCCGAAAGAACAACACTCTTGATGAGATCTGATTGCCAAACCCCAAGATTCTGTTGCTTTGGCCATGGGCTAACATAGACTTTGTCAGCCTCTCGTCTTGACATTCTCGGTACTTCTTCCGCAGTGTAAGCCGCTGTGGAGACATCATCTGCTGAATCGCGTTGTGATCCTCGAACTGAAGGCAAACCAGGAGGTTCAGGAGGTGGTCCTGGACCGTTAGGCCCAAAAGGGTCCGGAGGTCCATCAGGGTCAGGCGGACCGCCCCATCCACTCGGTGGCTTGTAATAGTCCCTCTCAGTTCCGCCAGCGATCTTGTTGTCAACCTCTTTCAGCAGATCAGCGATTCTTTTGCTTGATTGAGAATGCTGTTGTTGTTGAGGAGGTACAGCATGCCCACGATAGGAATGAGCCACATTTGTCTCATAAGTCAACTCCTTGTCGATCTGCGAAACCCAAGATTTCAGAATAGCGTTTTCACAGTTAGCCTCACTCACGTCATTCTCCAGTTTGTCGATGACCAGTCTGGACGCGAGATCGGAGTTGGGAATGCCTGCCGAATAGGGAAGTGTGTCAGGACTGATCCTAGCCATAGATGTTTCAGAATCCTTGAGACTTTTTCTCAGTTCATCTAAGTGACGTTTCATGTCAACAATCTCAGAATTCTTGATGCCAATCTTTTCATCCCTATCCTGGATTTCCCCCATGAACATGCATGATCTCTCATATTGTTGAACACCACTCGCCAATTTCAATTTTCGCTCACTCTCTAGTTCAGATCTTAGAGTTCGGACCTCAGCATTGGTGAGGGACGACGCCCCTACATCCGCAACTTCAGTCAACCTTTCTTTTAACAACAAGTTCTCTTGTAAACATTCATGAACTTCATGATCTAGATCCTGAACCCTGATTTGAGCGATCTTAGCTTGATTACGTAGATCTTCAACAAGCATCTCTTCGGGGCCACGACCGTCGGTCGTAGAACCCTGAGTCAACGATCTTCGTAACTTCGTGTTCTGCAACTTGATCTCATCCTTCAATTCGCAGTTCATCTTCTGCTCGTTGGCATAGAGCTCCTCATAGTGCTCTGCCCTTGCGATCGAGTTTGCACTAGCCTGTGATTCAAGCCTCAGGTGAGATATTGCTTCGGCCTCTTGGTTCCTGTATGATGCAATTCTTCTGACGGTATCATGTTCAGTGTTTCGATGCTTCAGATCACTTTCCAATTTGGCCTGATTTGCCTCGAACACCTTCTTCCTAGATTCTCTAGTGATCTCATCAATACTGCTCTCATACAGCTCGGCCTGTTTACGAGACTGAACCAAAGCTTCACTCAATAGCTGATTTCGCTCAGATAATTCATGAACTGCAATTGATTGTTGTTGGCTAATCACTTCAAGTTGATTACTAGAGAAGGATGCCATTTCAGATCGATTACGATATTCCATGATTGAGTTCTGGAAATCATTTTGCATTTCTTGACCCTCATTGTATAGTCGATTGGCAATATCGGTGGTTAAGACATTGGTTTGATGAAGTTGTTGTAGTCTTGCCTCCGTATTCCCCAGTAGTCCTTGAAGGTGATGTACTTCATCCTTGTACTCCTCCTGGATCTCCATACCACGTTGATGGATCCGTCGTGCACCATGTTCCATTAGGGCACCTCGGCGTTCAAGGTCTTGGATGCGTATTGTTGCACCTTCGTCTTCCTGAGATGCTACCATTAGTTCTGCTTGATATTCTGCAACCTCATTTGCGGAACATGACAATCTATGATTGAGTGCATTGACCTCATCAAATACATTCTGATTGTGTTCCCGAAGATACTCAGTGAATCTGATCTCGATGTCATGAATCAGTTGATCCCTGGATGCAGCGTATGCTTCCATGTTGTTCAGCTGATTACGTAGGGATTGACATTGTGCCCGTAGTTCCTCTATCATGGCAATAGGTTCACTAGCCACAGAAGTATCCGTTGATCTCCTCTTAACACGACTATCCCCGGTCCTCTCACCAATTCGGTCGGTCACGGCCCTGGTGGATCTGTCCCTTGGAGTAGTACGTCCTCGAGATGGTCGATGCCCTTGGCGGACAACATCACTCCGAGCACTGTTTCGAGAAGATCTAGGTGTACTTTGGGTGGATATTCTTCGTCTGTTTGATGTGACTTGCCATCCGGACTGTGTAGTTCGGGTAGAGCGTATCCCGCCACTGTCTGCCGTGTCGCCAGGGGAAGATTGATTGACCTCCTCGACCGGCATAGCAGCGTTCTCATTGAAGGTAAACTGCGTGGTGCGCGAATCTCCGCTGCCGCCTTGCATCTTTGCGATGATGAGCTGATTGGTCCTTTGCGTCCTCAATCAATTGCTCAGACGGCCCGGCTACCAGCACGCAGGTACCACTCTCCCGGCGGGAGAAGTGAGCCCTACGGCTGATAACCTGTGAACAAATTGATCCTTGTTCTGGATATCCTTCGGTTGTAGTTCCCTATGTGCTGATAGTCAGAGCTGTCAAACCATGCAGCAGCGGAGCGCGTTATTTTGGCCTCGCAGTGGGTCTTGAGCCATAGTGGCGTCCCATGCAAGAATGTGCACATGCTCAGCATGTGTGACTACTGTGTTATCTCGTTCCCCTTCGCAGTATGTATGTATGTATGTATGTATGTATGTATGTATGTATGTATGTATGTATGTATGTATGTATGTATGTATGTATGTAGGTATGTGTAGGTATGTGTAGGTATGTGTAGGTATGTGTAGGTATGTGTAGGTATGTGTAGGTATGTGTAGGTATGTGTAGGTATGTGTAGGTATGTGTAGGTATGTGTAGGTATGTGTAGGTATGTGTAGGTATGTGTAGGTATGTATGTATGTCTGTCTGCCTGCCTATCTGCCTGCCTGCCTGTCTGCCTGCCTGTCTGCCTGCCTGCCTGTCTGTCTGTCTGTCTGTATGTCTGTCTGTCTGTATGCAGGAAGGATGGATGGATGGATGGATGGATGGATGGATGGATGGATGCATGGATGCATGGATGCATGGATGCATGGATGCATGGATGCATGGATGCATGGATGCATGGATGCATGGATGCATGTATGCAGGTATGCAGGTATGCATGTATGTTTATATATATAATGTATATATACACCCCTGGAATCCTGTGGGACTCACCGTCAATTTTCACCATTTCACCAAGGCACAGTAGGCGCTCGAAACCCTGGCGTTACCAGGGCCACAGCCATGATCCGGGTCCAAAAAATTAGGGCTTCACCGGCTTTTTTTTCATCAAAAAAGAATTCCAGGGATACAATACTATAACAGACGGAGGACCAACCGTCAAAAATATGGAAATGACCATCAATAACATGGATTTCACCATCAAGAACATATTCGTTTAACCCAAAAAGATGCGATTTAACAGACAGAATTGGTGATTTTTTAACCAGCAAACATTGGGATTTAACCAGCACAAATCAGGATTGAATCATCAAAAGTGGTGTTTAACCAGCAAAAATTGCCATTTGATCAGCAAAAATCGTAATTCCATCCCATTCATATTGAATTCACCCTTTTTCTGGGCCCCCAACTCATGAATAATTAGTCATAATCATATGTTCCACAGGCACTTCGACGCCAACTTGGGTATTTTTGTGAGCTAGTTGATGTCAACTAATATGGGCTAGTTGGCAAGCTACATCGTTTACGGGGTACAAATAGAAGCAGTTTCAAGGCCATAAAAGGCCATGGTCATTTCCACACAGAGAAGCAGTTTTTTTTGAGGCCCTTGTCATTTCGCCATAGAAACCCTTCAAGTGTTGGTGGTTTCACCAGCATCCGAACCGGCCTGCTTGTTCCCAGCAATCAGGTCATTGATGATACTCCCCTGGTAGTTGGGCAGCAAGATTCGGCCCAGCTGAGTGATGCAGGTGCAGAGCACCGCACACCTCACCAAGGCGCCGTTTGTACCCAAAGTCATAGCTGGTTTATGGATGTTTCCCCAAATACGGTAACAATATGTAACAATAGGTTTTGACCCATCCCCATATACATAACTCTTCATTTTCTGAACCAATCATGCGGCCAAGATCAGTTTTCTGTTTGCCCATCCGTATCAGCCGTGGCACTGCAAGACGCGCCGGAAGGGGCGGCAGAGCTCAATGGCTCGCCAGAAGTACTGCCATGACGTTAGCTCTTGGACCTAATGCGGTTACCCTGCAAAGTTTCGACCAGGGGGTGTCACTCGGTTTCGTTTGGATGGCTAGAACTTTCAGCAGGCGGAAGAATGGTTTTCTCGTTTAGCGTCTTATAAACATACGGACCCTGGGCCGCGGATCAAGTACCCTCATTTCGCATGGCCTGCGTGGCAGATCGTATTTCCAGTTGGAATAAGTTAAAACTAGTTTAGAGCAAAACAGCTGATCCGCAATCTGCAAGGTAATTCATATAAAACCTGTTAAAAATCAACTAGTCCAGAGGAAAAACTTTTGTCCTGGTGTTGCAAAAAATATCCATCATGGCTAAAAAAACCCTTGAAATTCCATCCATCTATGAGAAATAACTTGCAAATCCATTTGGAATCTACCAAACAAGGCCTTACGCAGTTGTGGTGTGACAAACGGAAGGCCCAGGTGGTGCTCGAAGCGCTTCTTTTCAATTTGGGGACCCAAAACAAACGCAAATGTGTTGCATGAAAGCAAGAAAGAGTGGGAAACAAACATAAGGATTCCACAGAATTCCCTCGTAGCGGTTGGTTTGTGGAGGTTTCAGCGAACAACAACCGGGGCACATCAGTGAATGTGCAACGCATTGGTTAGGTAAGTCAGTAAGTCATCCGTAGTCATAGATTCCCACAGAAAATGGAAGTATAAACCTCAACGAAACGAGCACAGTGGTGGAAACCCCCAAGTTTGCATCACAGCTCCAAGTGCTGGAAGGATTGGTTTTTGAAACATGGAATGATCATCACAGCACCGAGCTAAGGTGCATATTTCGGCCCTTTGTCCCCACGTAGAATACCTTCCTCACGGCGACGGACGCCATGGGTAAAAATCATTGGACGCCATGGGTTTTGAATGATTTCTGTATAAAGAAAAGAAATACCTGGGTCCATGTCTACCCTATTCTTTACCCATTAAAATCTCCAGTGCAAATCTTCATCAAATTCCGATCGCTGATTTATCCTTTTGGATCACAAATCACTATTAAATGACCGATATATGTTCATAAATATCCACTTGTAGCTCTCACCACAGTGGTTGGGAAACTCTTGGTAGCTCCAACGCTCCCACAGTCAGTCACCCAAAAAGCCAGTTCTGTCCTGCGTGTTGCTGTTCTGGCTCTTTCTGTAACACAACAGGCAGACCCAAAAGCCTGATCCTCTACCGCCACCATCGCATTCCTTGCCTCGCTGTCACTCGATCTTCGCTTTTGGGACCCGCGATCCAGGACCAACTTGGCAAAAGAATAATGAACAACCGGATGAATAGCTATAGAGACGAATACATAGATCAACCAAGCTGAAAATTACTGATAATGCTAAATAATTCTGCGAAGTGATCTAGTCAACTATCAAAACAGACTCGCGTTTTTGCTGTGCCAGTTAATCCACATTAATCCACACTTGTTCTGAGGATTCATGATACAACAAGTTCCTCTGAGAGCATCAGTCAGGCTCAGGCACACATGAAGCCCTCGGGCCCTCCTGTTCGAGTCCCAATGCGTTCTCGGCAGATCTTGCAGAAGGCTATCCTCAGATTGCGCTGAGACAATAGAAACGGATAGAAACCCCCTAGAATCAAGACATGAATCATGTACTAATGGTGAATTTGCATTGCCATGTCTACCAGAAGGTCGAGTCAGTGACTACCGGTAGATCTGGTACCGGTATTTCGAGTTTCAGAGGCAGCAACAAACAACATGACAGGGACAAGATTTGCAACTTCAGAGCACTTCCTGTGCCTGCCATGACACTGTGCAACCTTCTGGTAGTAGAGCCTGGCAATGCAAGTTGATCGAAACAGCTTTGAGAAGACATTGCCTTCATTAATTTAAATTTATCACCCACCACAGGGAGGTTCCATCTTAGATTGAAATGTCATCTCTTTGACCACAAAGGCACTCCACAAGCTGCTATTATGCAATGATTCCAAGCTATTGGCAGTCATTCCACATCTCAAAGTCCCACAAGCATGTACCAGCTACTTGCTGATACTGTATGGATGGGGTGAATGAAAAACCTAAGACCCTAACCAAAACAAATACTGTTCTATTCAGTACAAGTACCAAACATTCGAACATTGAATTGTTTGGCATCTATTTCCAGATATGATTCCAAAATCCCCATCTTTCATTCTCAAATCCACCACATTTTCACACCCACCTAACCTTGGTCATGGGAGACACCCACCCCGACACGTTGCCTGTGCTCGTGCACTCCTGGCAATAGCACGCCCTCCTCTTCTGTCAGACGCTCCACGAGGTATTTCATCACCAGAAATTCCTATGGTCGCTGCTTTCTGTGGTGCCCCATAGTTGACCAAGTCGGCTAATGACTCAGTTGTCTGGTCCATGGTCATAACATGTCATAACTATAGACGGGTGTTTTTTAACCAACTCATAACTGTTGGGGGCACCACCTTGTGCTACTCACAAGTGGGTTGCTAGCCAGAAAATGCTAGCCATGCAATATCACCAAATCAACCACCAGCACATGGGAAATTGCCCAAACTGTGCGGTTCTTGGTATCATCTCATCGCAGGTCATGCCTCCGTCAAAATGGCCAAAGTTGGTCACCAAGGCCACCAAGGTTCAGCGTTCATGCAGGCAACCACCAGGGTAAAGCACAAGGCTTCCAGTGCAGTTTCCTCTTCGGTGGACAGGACCTGGTCGAAACGCCGAAACGATCCGAAACGGGATACCCCTCGGCGGCTTCCGTGGCGTGATCAAAATGTGGGAGTAAGTGCCTTAATTTTTCAGACAAACCCAGTAAGTGTTTGGTAACTGACAGTTTAAGCATGCTATTTCTGCTGAACGATATTTTTCTGTCTCATTCTGGATATGGCTGGCATTTTTCAATCATTTTTTGGAGGATACATCATGATACATCCTCATTTTATGGTTGAAGATCTTCGCACCGTCCCCGGCTGGACCTGAATACCAGTGTAGGTGGATTCCACCGTGACGCCTTTGTCGGCACAGCTGTGCCACATGACTGGCGAGAAAGTTTCAGCAATCATCTCTGGTAAAGCCAATAATCACAGAATTACTTTGGGATACAGTAGTTACCCTCTGGTAAACTAACATAGCTATTGAAAATGGCCCTTTATAGTGGATTTTCCCATGAAAAATTGTCATTTTCAATAGCTACGTTAAATTACCAGAGGGTACTGTACTAGAAAACAGGCCGTTTCTGGATTTCCATTCGCAGAGTTGTTTTGTCCACTGAACCAAAACGCTTCGCCAAGGCAGTCCTGCCTACAAAGCATATGCCCAGGACCTGAGATTCACTGGTAGTTTCATGCAGGATTGGTGTAAGGGAGAATCTTAACCGGAAACCCATGGGTTTTGACCATCAAATATAGTGGTTTTTACCATCAAATATAGTGGTTTTACCATGGATGATGGGAATCTTTCCTGTAATTTTTCCCATCATCCAATTCTATGATAGTTGCGCAGGGCTGTTCAAAAATGGTCAGCCACTGAGTGCGCAGCCAAGTTCCTCTTCCAGCTATGAGCCTCAGCGCGGTTCGGCTTCCCGGTCTTTAAGGCTCTTCACCACAGAGTTTTTGTGGTTGATCATCCAAGTTTTTGTGGGGTACTGACTTTTGACCCATACCCAAAGAATCCCAAATATGACATAATATGACTCAATTGACCGTATCAGAATTCAGTGTGGTTCGGCCAAATCGTCTGGTGATTGGGTGATTGGGCAACCTCCGTCACCACTGAAAAATGGCGACTTTTCAGACACAAACCAAAAAAAACCAACTGCCACATGGGCCAACAAATCCTCAACAAAGTTACGACTTTTCAGACAGCAAAGAATCCCCGAAAAAAAAAAAAAAACAAAGTCATCATGGTCAGTCATCCCCAAAAAAATCTGGACCATTTCCACCGTTTCGACCGGGTTTTTTTACCGTTCCAACTCGCCCCCAACTCGCCTCGCGGTTGGCCACCGCAGCACGTTGTCGGTCCAGCTCACTGACTTCACCTGGTGGCATCAGTGGAAATGGGGCGACCATGATTTGCATGATTTCAGGCGCCATGAAAAACCTGTTTGGGGCGCCAAAAACCCATGGATTTTAGGGTTTGCCATTGAAAAACCTCCAAGCACTCACCAGTCATGTCAACTCAGCTGCCAACCGGTGGCGTGATGAGTCTCCTGAACGACTGGGAAGGAAACTTCTGTGCTTATGGATCCTTTCAACACCATGCACCCATCATGACGTTGGTTCAAATTGATAGGATTCACTCGGATTCACTCCACCATGAAAACAGAGCGAGAGAGAGAGAGAGAGGTGCCCTCATCTGGCAACCAAAATTATGGTTTGGAGTCTATGTCATACACATACACTTGTAGTATAATATGTGCACATTTCATTTACATAAAATAATATCTTATCACACAAATGTATATATAAACACTGTTAATGTATGGTTTATGGATATGTATGTGAATACCATAAAATGTGTACATATATCATATATCATATATCATATATCATATATCATATATCATATATCATATATCATATATCATATATATATACACTATAGTAACTATACGTGGTTTTCCCATATGCATACGTGAAATATGTATATTTATACACTGCATATGTATGTCTACAGAACACAAGTGGTGAAGATTGCCTCTGGGCCCTCAGCGCCGCAGCTCCACATCCCTGAGAGGACTAAACCATGGTGACAGCTGGACTGAAAAACGGGGCAGAGGGATAGTCAAATGGGATAGAAAATATGATATAGATATAGATAGTTACCCCCAAAAAAAATGGAAAAGGTGAAATTGACCGCTATTCAAGTCGGATTTTATGCGTTTCGATTTTATTGGCCGTTGCTATTTGTGTCCATATCATATGTATATTGTTTTATTTCACTATTTTTTGACTATACTGCATTACACGCTTTTTGGGACAAGATATTATATCCTCATATGGGCACATATATGACCACCATATATGGCTGCGTTGGTAATATGTGCAAAAAAAATTGACTGTAATAAGTATGGTATAAATAGTCCTATTTTTTTGCTGCCCAAGCCACCTTTGCTGTACGCACGCCACCGTTGGCCCTAAACCCTGCTGTGTGAACAAGGTGCATACAGAAACGAAGGAACCTATGGACAAGGGGAAAACTAAAAAGAGTGCTACCACTGTACAAAAAGAAGTCTCACTTCGGACTTCATTTTTTGCTATTGAGAATCAATCATCGATGATAAAATTGTCAAGTAGCATTGCAAGATGGTCTTACTTGCCGGAAATTCAGTTCACATGGAGAGGTTCACAAAGAGATGTTCAAACTGAGCGCTAGCATATCTGTAACTGCGATCAACTTTCCTCGAGAGATGCGCAGGGCAGAATTCACATAGAGTAGCGTCCAAACAGAGCACATTGAAAAAATAGAGTATTCAAGGAGGGACTACTGTAGTCATATGATTGAAATTGAGATGGTGGTAGTTCTGCGCCACAGCCATTTTTTGGCCTCTCGAATTGCGTTGGCTGGATCAAATGGATCAAAACTGGCGTATAAAATCATACTCTACTCCCAAAATAGTCCTATGATATTGCGAAGAAAGATGGAGCGGTCTTTTGAGCCTCAGGGCCTATGGATTCCAAGTCTGAAACTGTGATGAGTTCACATGGTTTTCATGTGCTCAAATTGGAGTACCTGACAGGGATGAGTGCTGAGTCAAAACGTTCGCGCTCCTCCTAAATTTTCTGAGCTTCAGCTTGGAAATTTCTCCTGTTGTTTTCGACCAGCCCACAGCAAATTTTTGCTGTGACCTCATCCAAACTTTTCTAAATTCTTTCCATCAGCTCCACCTTCAGTGAAAAACTGTCATGCAAATCTTTCGAAATTGGTCTTTCTCTTCTATGGTCCGAATCTGATTCCGAGCTGTACTTCAAATTCCTCCACATAGCTAGCGAAAAGTCTCGCTGTGCGTGATCTGGAATGATTGTTGCTCCTTCTGAATCTTGTATCTAGGCCTTCAGTGATATCCATGAGAAGTCTCTCAAGTTGCTCTGGAGTCAAAGGAGTTCCTGGTGCTCCTCTGTCCAGCGCCATGAGTACCAGCTGTTGAACTGCTGCCGCATCTGAGTGTTCATGCAACGCCAAACATTCATTGAGTAGATTTCGGAGTCTGTTCACAACATGTTCTCTGGTGTGGACGTCAATTGCATCATCCACTTCCATCTCTGATTCTTCTCCTTGTTCTTGTTCTCCTTGATCTGTGGTGTCAACTGCTGCATGAATCCCAGTTGAATGCTGGTTTACCAATCTCATGTATCTATCACCGCCCATCACATGAAATGAAGTCAAGTTTGCCCGCTCAGTTGCATACATATGCCTGTTCGGGTCCGCAGTGAGTTCGTTGTACCTTCGGAACCCTCCAACTTCAACCAACCCATAGTGGATGCTACTTGCATAGTCCTGGAGAAACTCTAAGTCTCGGGCAGTCTCACCAAGACCGAACTCTGCTGAAATCAGCCGTCCACTATAGTCAGTATAAGCTGTATCAAGTTCTGCAACCTGAACGCCCAAATGATATTGCTCTCTTTCCATGACTGTCATTCCATGTTTCCACTTTCGATACAACCAGTAACCTGCACATCCAAAAATGACCCACGTGGTCAAAACCAGAAAAATGCAGACATAGTTGAGTATGTTGGATTCTACCATCGTCGCTGTTGTTGCTGTTGTAGCATCACACTGGTCTCGGAGAGAACCAATGTCACATGTTGATCCTTCCAGCTCGTCCGGAAGAAATTGCCCGTTTGCACCATTTGACCCAAGGCCCATTACAGTAGCAACGCGCATCAAACTCTTTGCCAGCTGCATGATTTGCCTTCTTGAGCCATGCTTTTCAACTTGTTCATCATGTTCATGCTGTCCAATGATTGTCAAACCATTGTCCCTACACACTCCAAGCTCGTGAAGCAAAACTTTAACCCTTTGTTGAGGAAGCGCCTTCGTGCAAAGGTCAGCCACATTCCATGCTGTCGGTAGCTGCTGCAAAAAGACATCACCTGACAAAACATGTTGTTGTATCCAGAGTATCTTGCCATCAAGATGTCGGACTTTTCCTACACCTTGTTTGGATGCCAGTTGTCTGGCTGAGGAACTGTCTGTCAGCAGGTAATGAGAAACATCAGCTCCAGTCAGAAATGAAAGACAACGTCTGATGTAGATACCATCTGCCAAAGCGCTTACCATGCCATGTAGCTCAGCCTCGCAGGATGAGAGGCTTACAGTTCTCTGCGTCCTTGAAGAACCGAACATGTAAAACCCGTTGATCAAATGGATGCCAGCGCTTGTACTCTTCCTGTGTTCCTTGTTTGAACTCCAATCTGAATCACTTGCACTCTCCAGCACCCAAAACGACTCATTGGTGTTTTTCCATTTTCCCTGGCCACCTTCAGGTTCTGCGATGACCACTGCATAGGATGCTGTTCCCTTGACATACCCCATGACTTTCTTGAGCCTTTGCAACGCCGTCACAGTTGGTTGAGCCATCTTTGCTGACAACTCTTTGACACAAAACAAGAGATCCGGTCTGTCCCTTTCTAAGTAAAGCAAACCTCCAACTGCAGATCTATAGGCATAGGCATCACGGGAAGTCAAGTTTGAAGACACATCAGGGAGTTGTATGGAAGAGTCACATGCCACATGCTGGACACGCACTTGACCAAAGTAACTTTCAAAGTTTTCCACCAACTTGTCGATGTTGGTTCCTGGAACCAGAGCTAAACCATGGTTAACCTTCACCAGCTTCCGTTTCAAGAAAGAAATTGAGCTCCCTTCTTCTTCCAAAACTGATGCACTAACGCTGAACTGTTCCTTCAACTTTGGCAAAAACTGTTCTTCCCAAAATTTGCGCTTTCCTACAAACAAAACATCATCCACATGCAACATCAACGCTGAGTGTTCATTTCGGCAAAGACATGGTTGCTCTGTGCACCACTCATAGCCAAACGTTTTCGAAAGGAAATCTCTCAAAAACCAGTACCATGCTTTTGCACCAAGACGTTGGCCTGGGAGGTTCTTGACTATGATGTACTTTCTGCCTGCCAGTGTCACTGCAAAGGGCTTTGCTTGTGGTACACATAGAAAAGCATCCTTGATGTCAACTGTTGCCAAAACATGTTCTGCTGCATGGTTTTCACAGCCACGTCGTTCAGAACATCGTTGCAAGTAAACCATTGGCAAAAGGTTCATCACATGAGTTGATGTCGCAGGACTAAAGCAATCGTCCCTGCGTTCCATGAAAGCATACTCTCTGGCCACCAAGCGGCTACGTCGAAGCCACCTTTTGGTTACACTTCCATCATCCAAGGTGTAATCCTTGGCACGCCAGTCATGCACAAACTTCGTTGTCAAGGAGTCTCGAACTTCATTCTGGAAAAGCTCCTCCTTGATCAAAACCTCCATGTTTACCAAGCGTGAAATCTCAACTTCGTTTGCAAGCATGTCAACCCATTCTGGTGGTTCGTCAGGTTGACGCTCCATGTTGTAATCACTCCAAAGATCTTCTGGGACATCCTTGAAGTGCAAAGAGTCTTCATCAGCCCACAAATCGGCTGAGTCATCTTGTTGCTCCATGTCTTGGTCGTTCTCATAGTTGTCCATGGTGTGGAACTTCTCATTGCCAAATTCCACAGATTCCACAGTGCTGATTCTTGAAGCATACTCCTGAGTGATTCTCTGGAGTCTTGAGCGCTTGGGATCATCACCCCTGGCACGTTTTGCTTGATGCTCTTCGATATCAACATCTTCATCACCATGTGCACGTGTTGTTGGAGAAGCACGTGGTGTCTGTGGAACATATGCAACTTCCATGGGTCCTTCATCCTCAAAAATTGGAGTGACTGGGGCTTCACTGCCTGCAACACCAAGAGAAGGCGCAGGAACTCCTCCTGTGTCGGCTCCCACATCATCTCCAACCTCCACTGTTTCATCATCATGTTGAACTGCATCTGCATCACCAAAGCTAACTTCCGGTGGTGCATCATCTTCCACCGCAGGAAGTTCATGTCGATCATCATGTGCACCCATTTCAACTCTTTCTGATTCTTCTCTCAGCTCCTCTCTTGCTTTCTCACGCACTGCTTCGGCATCTGCATCATGAAATGCACTTGGTTCAATTTCACCTCGAGGAGGATGAAATCCCACTGAAAGTGCCTCACACTTGATTTTGGTAGGCACCACACGCCCACCAAATCCAGACTTGTATTCCCAGCTGTTGCACTTGAAAGCTGAGTAAAACGCTACATGCCCCTTCCAGTCAGTGTCAATTCTTCTGATGCTGCGTGTCAACACCAAATGGCTTCCAGAGTAGAGGAGAAAGCTATCTTGGCCATCCACTTTCCCCAAAAACAGGGCTCTGCGCCACTTTGCCGTCCCCTTTGCACCAACACGAAAATACCCAAAAACCGGCTCTGCAAACTGAGCAATGGATCCTGTGTAGTGCTTCTTGTGGACAAGCTCAAATGGTGTCACATTGCGCACAACACCATATCTGTTCATCAACCAAGCTGCATGCCTGTGTGCCCACGTCCAGAGAGCGTGGTTTGTAGAGAAGTCTATGCCTGTGCGTTTTCTCACTGAGTGCATGAGGATTGAAGCAAGAGGTCTCAATCTTCCTATCACGTTCTCCACAAGTGAGTTGCCATGTGAGTATGCAGGAGGTGTCACTGATCTCGTTGCCAAACCCATGCTGAGCCGTGTTGAAACAACATACTTGAGTAGCTGTCGCATTGTGGGCTCGTTGTCACATCTGAAAATCACCTCAGCATGTCCTAGTCCAGCTGTAAATGACAAAACTTCACGTGTCATGAGCTCCAATTGTCCTTTCGATCTCAATGGCACACATCCTACATAGCCTGAAGCACTGTCGACCATCACCAAGAAAGGTAGTGCCGAAACATCCTGAGGGTTTACTCCTTCAGGAATGGACCTTGTGAATGCCAGGTCAAATGAAACTGCTGGTGTCTCTGAAGCTCGTGAACTGTCATCTCTCAGTTGTCTGTTTGCACGCGCTTTGAAGCAAATACAGCTTTCGCACCAAGGTTGATATGGGGTATGTGTGAGTTCATGTTGCCTCTGGGCCTCTTCAGATGGTGGAACTGCAAGTGTTGGTGAATGCGGCCTCCTCTCAAGTTCAGCTGCCGCATGTTGGGCTGCATCCTTCAACAACTCAAGCTCAAGCTTCTTCAAGTGATTCACCAACCGTCCATAGCACTTCATTTTGCCACCAGACTGAGAAATCCCATAAAAACTGCAACCGCTTCTCAACGCTGCTAAACTGCTTTCAACTGTAAGCTCAACGCCGTTGACAATGACTTTCTCGAAGTCTGCTGCATTCACAACAACCCTATCTGCAGGAATCTCACGACCATCAGCTGAAGGCATCAAAGAATCTTGATTTCCAACGTCACGTCCTCGAACCTCATCCTCTGGGGCAATGGCGTCTGGGTCTTGTTGATCAGCCTCATCCTGGCGTTCAGCTGCAGGTAAATCAGCTGCATCTTCCCTCATGCTAAAACCCATTGACCCAGGAGGTTTCTCACCTTCAGTGACAAACGTAAGAACTTCTCTGGCACCTGAATACCCGTAAAACTCTGCAGACATGTCAATCAAGCTTTGCAACGGCTCACAAAGTTCAACCACATACCAAAATCCATCATCTCCCTTGATCAACGTAGTGCGGTTTCTGACTCCTTGCATTGCAGGACAAACCAAAGTGGGATCTTGATAGGTTTCAGCAAAATGCCGTCCAATTCCTAGTCCAGTCTCATCCAAACTCCAGCCTACATGTCCATGTAAAACATCATCTCGAACCGTGGCTTTCACAGCCCTCACCATGACAGAAGCCTGACCTGGATGCTCACCTGAACCTTCGTCGCAAGAGATGGCCCTGATAGAGCCTTTGACCACCATTGATTTGTTCTGCAATTCAATAGGAATTTTAACACCTGTTGCATGCACCAAGTTCTGCTCACTTGCATTGACACCCCAACCGTTTTCAATGAGGCGTCCAAAGCACAAAATTGGTTGATGCACTGAAGAACTGATTGCAACATGTTCTCTAAGTACCACCTGTCTGCCAGTTTCATCTGTCAAGTGGACCTCAACATCTCTCATGCCCATCACAGGAATCTGTCGTCCCTGAGCATCATGAAGCTGCAAGTCTGGCATGTTCGAAGCCATGCCTGCTGTTGCATACTCCTTTGGAAAAACAGCTGCATCAGCACCGCTATCTAAAAGGATGCTTCTCAGTTCTCCATCATCCCAATCTGAAACTTCTTCAACCAAAACTCTGACATCACCATGAAAACGTGCATTCTCAACGTCATCACCGATGAAAAACTGCTGCAAAACACGTACTGACTTGGCACTGCAAGGTGAAATTGGATCCTGTCTCAAATCAAAAACTATAGGTTGTGGTTCATCTGAAGCACTGTTGTCGCCAAAATGGCATGAAATTTGTGAAACTCGGTACTGAGTGGCAGACTGAGCTTGGGACACCTGAGCGTTCTGTTGGGCCTGCTGTTGGCCATTGTTGTTTGAACCAACTGCAGAAGAAGTTGAACCCTGATTTTGGTCAGAGTTCTGCACAACTCTCACCTTAGACCAACAGTCCTTGGCGTAGTGTCCAGCTTTGCCACACTTGAAACACTGCTTGTTGCTCTTATCTGACTTTCCTTGTCCTTTGGGCTCATTCTGTTTGCCTTTTCCACCTTTGTCACCTTTTGAAAATGACTTGCCGCCATCTTTTCCTTTGGATTTCGACTTGCCTTTTCCTTTGTGGTCACTGCTATAGCCCTTTGAGTCACCCTTGTATTTGCCTTTGTCACCCTTTCCTTTTCTCCAGCCTTTCTCACCAATGCGGTCAACCTCCATTGGCACTGCATCATCAGCTCGGCTGTCTTCTGAAGGAAGGACAAGTCCTGTCCATTTCTGTTGTGACCTGTCCCAACGCAAGACCTGATCTCGTACATCTGAGTATTTTGCTGAACCATCAAGCATCAAATTCAGCTGTGTTTTCAAAGGACCAGTAATGCACTTAAGTAAAATGGCCACCTTGAGTTCCTCCTGAACAGGAGTTCCAGACTTGCGTGTTTCTTCAAACATTTCCTCCAGCTTAATCAACTGACTGAGCAAAGATTTCTGCATGTTGAAGGAAGGGTATGAGGTAATTGCAGAAAGTAAAGCAAGACCTCTCGTTTGAGTGTTGGGCTTCAGGGCTCTGTTGCGCACCAAAGAAGCCAGCAAACTGTAGAGTTTTGTGGACCTATGCCTAGTCTCTGCTGAGGCCGTTCCCATGTCCAACTGCTTCCCAGGATCGTCATTGATCTGCTTAAGTTCACCAGCAAATCCCTCATCCGCTGCAGTCAGATACTGGCAAAGTTGCCAATGCCAATCTCTAAAATTTCTGATGTCCTCCTCAGCAGTCTTGTTGTCAAACACGTTGGGCTTATTCAACAATTTCGACCAGTCCACATTGCTACCAGGCCTAACACCTGCACCAGCTGCCTGACTTCCAGATGACTGCGCCTGTGAGGCTAGTTGAGCAGCCTGCACAGCAGCTTTGGTAGCATCAGCTACCTGCAGTAATGCCGTCTGTATCACACTGGGGTCCACAGCCATCGCACCTGAAATTCTGCAAAGATCACGCCACCAAATGAAAAATTGCAAACGTACCAACCCAGTATTGCAAAACCACTGCCAGTTCTGAAGCCTGTATCCAGTGTTTAAATCTGCACCTGAGCTTTGAGGTTTCCAGCAAAAATCAAATGGTGTCCTACCACAGCACAAAAATCAATCCAGCTTCACCCCAGAAAATTTCTGTCACTGACCAATTCACCGTCCAGAAATGCTTTGCGCCTTTCCACGTTCAGTCAGAAAAATCCAAAGTCTATGGCGTCAGCAACCAGTTGGAACCCAATCCCTTTTAGGATCTGAGCTCCGCTACCATGCGAAGAAAGATGGAGCGGTCTTTTGAGCCTCAGGGCCTATGGATTCCAAGTCTGAAACTGTGATGAGTTCACATGGTTTTCATGTGCTCAAATTGGAGTACCTGACAGGGATGAGTGCTGAGTCAAAACGTTCGCAGATATGGATAAAATTGCACATTAATAGATCTAGACAGCATCTACTATTATAGTTTAAATCGCAAAATAATCCGAAAATGGTATCATGTATGGCAAATTATCTGACTGATAAACGAAGTGGCTTTAAGGGGTAGCCTGTTTTTGGCACCGGTCAGGAAAGTCCAGAAAGTCAGGAGAGCGGTGAAGCGTCCAGGGGTTCAGAAGTGGCTATTTCACTCACGCGACGAAAACCCATCGAATTTTGGGACATTTTGGGTCTGACGTTGAGCCACAGCCACGTGGCTATGGATCAAAACCCTGTTACCTTTAAGGTGTTCACAGAAATCGCTGGTACTTGTGGGCATTCATGCCCAACACTGGTCCCATGGGCATATAAATTAACTAATCTTTCCCCACAAGCAAGGTATGCAATAAGATCACCCATCATTACACCTGATTTTGGTGAAGTCAAGCGAAATCGCCTGGAACCTTCGCCCAGCTGCCAAGGCCCATCTTGACGGCCAGGGCAAAGCTGAAGGAGAGCAGAAGGGCTCGAAGAATTCCCATGATCAGCGCCTGCGGCTGGTGTCGCTAAAAGCCATGGGGCAAAATCACATGTTTCATCCAAAGAGGCATCCAAGAAAACATCCAAGTGCCATCCACCGAAACAAATAAAAACAGTAGCCCTAGCAGCCCGTACACCAAAGCAAAAGGGCCTGATGACCACTAAAACCCAGGTTGAAACGGTTCTTTTTCTGCTCAGCACCAAATCCAGGATCTTCAAAATACAGTATCTGCTGACTATTCTCCACAGTCAGCTGAGACAACACTCCAAGCATGGTCGACTCCCACAGGAATTGTCACTTCAAAGCTCCGAACATGGAGCCGCTGAACCGGCTGAACCAAATTCAGAGACTCCATATTCAAGGTCACAACCGATCGAAACTACAAAAATATCTATGTCCCCAAAGTCCAGCACTACCATAATCGAGGGAACCAATAGCTCCAAAGCTCCAATGTACAAGAAGCCATTGCGAACACAACCAGTTCAGCACCATCTGGGCTTTACTTGATGGTTCGAGCCATGGTTTTCTCGGATTTTCCTTGAAAGCGATCCACTGAATTAGGGCTAATCTGCTCCTTTTTGTTTGGCCAGGAAGCATCCAATTTGGCTCAAAACCATCATCTGTGTTACCATTTTCATCCATTTTCCATCATTTGCCATCATTTGCCATCATTTTCTATCCCTCTTCAAGCTATCTAGACATAGCTTTCACCCCTCGGGGCAGTTGCCCAGCCCTGCAGTCTGCCTGGTGTCGTCCATGGCCGAACAGCGTGGCCGCGGCGATCAAATCAATGATCACCAGCAGCACCAGCAAGAAAACCCAGCGTTTTTGGTGGAGGCAACTGCGACAAACACCTGGCCGCGATGACAGAAACAGATTTTTACGGAGGGCGTCTTTCAATGGACAAGATTCATGGGGTCAAATTGATGGATATAGAAAAACTACAACATCACATAACATCACATAACATCACTTATCTAATGATATCTACTGAACTTATGGTTAATAATCATAGACCCCCTACCAGTCTTCCTTCCAGTTGTAAGTTCCAGGTGGTCTTAGCAGTTTTTATCTCCATGCAACTTTTTAGAAGCTAAATAATCTACACAGTCATTCAGTTTGCATTTTCAGAAGCTGAACAGTGAACATCTGCCAAAAGAAATGGTGGATAGAATGCAGTTCTCAAATATTCAGAATAATTGTGGTGGATAAGACAGAATTTTAGTGGATGGTCAGATTCACAACTTCGAAGCCATGGCAGCCACGGGAGTCAGAACTTCGAAATAGTTCGTCTGGGTTCTTTCATCAATACTGTCAAGCAAACCAAAGAAGAGAATGAGTTACCCAGTTAACCCTGCTCGCAAACCCCTGATCCCCTCTCCTGCGACTAGAAAAAAAAACCGACGCGAACTCGGCAGGAGGCACAAATGTTCCCAGAATTGGACAGTTATTTGTGGTGCCTCGGAAAACACATCAAGTATAGGTCAAATTAGTAGCCCATATCCAATGGTTTGTCATGTTTAGGATTAACCCATATCCAACCCCCAGTTTGGATGGCCGAACTCTATGGTGCCATGGCACCAGCATCTTCCGGTTGATCCAACAATCGCACGCTCCTGGGCGAAGCGAATTGGTGGTTTCAGGCCCAGCCAGGGCAGATTTCTCCGAAGATCATCACACAATGGATTTCGAACACCAAAACAAAGACCCGAAGTTCAACGACTGCGATATCTTTGGTTCAGATCCCAGTGATCTAAAAATAGCACCTAGATATGTTTTTGTATCTGCAAAAGCCAAAGGGTTTGGAGGTTCCCCCTTCCCATCACGAGCCGTACAGCAAACCCCCAAACGAAGAGATAGAAAAGTGAGATCCGACCAAAATAGCGGTAAAAGGTTTTTTTTAATTTTTGGCACTATAATATTTCTATATCATATTATATATATACTATAATATAGATATAGATATATCATATCCTTTCACTCCTCAAACAGCAAGTCTCCTCGTAGGTTGCTCGTCGCTGACTGCACGCAACATCGGCCAGATAATGGCTTGGAAGATCTCAATTTGTTTTGCGGTTGTGTCAATTCTCTGGATACCATGCAAATACTTCAAGACCCAAAACAGGGCCAAAATCCGTGGCTGAAACCACAGGTCCTTTAGTTTTACCTACTTTGTTCAAAGATGACGGGGCCTAGGCCTAGACCCATGTCTTGCAATGGTGTTGCAGCGGTTCTGAAAATGTTGATGCGAGAACCGTGCTAGGGATGCAGTCGGCACCTGCAGCATCTTACAAATGTTTTCCAAAACCATAAACTGCACCTTGAAGAGCCAAAATGACAAAGCAAAACTGTTTTCCTGCCGTCAATACTGAGTGTGTTTTTGATGGCTAAGGGCAATATTTCTGTCTTGCATCGCTGCCTTGCACCATAAGAAACCATTGTCATCACATTTTTTAAAGCAAGAGTTGGCAGTTTTCGTTCATCCAAGGCCAAAAACAAATCGGCCTTGACACCCTTGATGAATCCCATAACCTTCAAAAAGCGAAGCACATCGGCCGACAGGCGGTGCAAAACGGTGACCATCTCCAACATCTCCACCCAGTCATTTCGCACCTGCATCACGGCAAGAACACCTCCAGGGCACAGGGGATCAAGATGGCCTGGTCATTTCTGGTTCCCTGGTCATCCAAAAAAAATGGCGGGAAAATCAACCTGCTGGGATGCTATAGCAATTTTGAAAAACAACATAAAAACAATTGATCACCATTTCAGTGGGATTTTCCTGTCATCCAATTTTGGGGTGCATACCCACTTCACATGTGGCACCAACGGTTGGAGGAGCACAGCCTCGCTATGTTGCACTGATAGCAGAAACCGGGATGACCGTGACACGACTGCCAAGGTAATCAAGGCACTTCTGGTTGCAAACCGAAGGCTGTGTGTACAGTTGCTTTGCTGTGACTTTGAATTTGATGTGCGGAATCAATAATTTCAAGAATCAAAACATGACACATCAGAATGGGTACTGACATATGTTCAAGGGTATGAACTGTTGGTTTGTGCGAAATATGTGCGAAATCATGGAAAATGTCCATGCAGTTTCCACTTTGACGGGTCTTTACAAACCTTTCTGGGTCAACTTTTGGATTGACTTGAGTCAGTTACACGCAGCAACACGTCCAACCCTCATTACAAGTTTGAAAATTTTTGAACTACCGTGTTGCGGCTGGAAACAAATATAACAAGGCGAGGTGATTAATTGTGAATCAGCCAGACAAAGATTTCCAACTGATCAAATGATGTATGTTTTGGTCTCAGGCCGGCTTTGTGACCCCCTTTGTGATCGAACTGTTCCAAATGATTGATTCCCGATTTTTTTGCATTTTGTTCCAAAAAAATGTTGCCAAATTCAATGTTTCACTTCATCTACATAATATTTCCTACATCCCTCCTTTGCATCACCTACATTATCTATATCAATTTCATCTACATCACATCATACATCATCTACATTTCCCACATCTGTACTACATCGTGTACATAACCTACATCATGTACATATGCGTAGCAGCTGCCACTCTTTTTACTCCTAAGCCAAAGGCCTGCAATGCAATGACTTGACATGATATTCATGCAAGTGAGGTGAAAACTGAACGCTTCTCGATTTGTGTGTGTCATCGTCCAAAGCTCTGCAACTGACATCAAATGGCATGGTTTCACATCCATGAGCACTGTCCCTATGTTTTCGTACTCCTCCTTTGGCTTCTGCAGTAAGACTCTGAAGCCAACTATCTAGGGACTCTGCGCCACTGTTGCAAAAGGCTTTCGTAGACTGCCACAACGTCTACGTGTCCATTCCTTCTTGCATCTGCTGTCATCTCCTCAAACCTTTGGATCAAGTGTTCCATGTACCTGTTGCGTCTCTCAGCATTGTCATACCCATTTTGGTATGTGAGGTCCAGAAGGTCCATCATCAGATGTTGCAAGACTGAGGCGTCTCGCCAGTGCTCACGTGCCAACGCATTGTTCAATTGGGTCGTCAGGTCGTTCATGATCACTGACACTCCAATCGGCCTGCTCGTAGAACTTGCACTGCCTCCTGAGACATATGGGTCATTCTCTGGAGCTTCTTCTTCTGCTGATTCTCCATGCATTGACTCATCATCCTCAGGATTGTCTGTGTTGTCACCTGTTGCACTTCCATGGAACTGTTGGCGGATTCCACGAAGGTAGTAGTTGGAACCCATAGCGTTCCTTGCAACCAAGTTGGCTCTTTCTGTTGCGTAGAGCCCTCTCCTCTCTTCTGCAGTCAAGTCTGTGATTCGTGTGAAGCCACCTAGCTCCACCAAACCGTGATGCACTGATTCTGAGTAATCGCTCACCATTGCGATCTGACCTTCCAGTCCTGACACCCATCCTTCCAACGCTGAGACCTGTTCCATTGTATGGTTGAGGGAACTTCGTTGTTCACCGTAAACTCTGTCACCATCTGCAAGTTGCCATGCATGCTGTCGAAACTCTTCTCGGGTCCATCGCATGAACTTCACAACAGCAACCAACAAGCCAAGCCATAGTAATCCCAAAACCAGCATCCAAAAGAAAATCCAGAAATTGTCTTCGCTCGAGTTGTTCGGCGAAACATCCATGGAGCATTGTTCTCCATCACTTCCAGAGATTTCCGCACCAGCAGTAGGCTCAAGGCCCATCACTAGGATTATCCTGGCAACTGCTTTTGCTAGCTTGCTGAGTTGTCTGCCTTCACCATGTTTTGACCATTGGTGGTCAAACTCCTCCTGGCCAACCTGTCTCTGGCCAAACTCTGCATGGACACCTATTTCATGTAACAGCAGCATGACACGTTGCTTTGCCAACGCTTTTGTTCCCAAGTCTGCCACATTCCAAACTGTAGAAACTTGGCATATGCAAACACTGCCTTGTCGCACATGCTCTTGAATCCAAAGAATCTTGCCATCCACATGCTTCAGCTTTCCTGTTCCCTGGCGGTTTACCAGTTGTCTCGCACTCGAAGAGTCTGTCAGCAAGACATGCTGTATTGTGGCACCTACCACAAACTCCAAGCATCGCTTGATGTACACCCCGTTACAAAGTGTGGACACCAAACTGTGCAGCTCTGACTCGCATGAGGAAAGTGAAATGACACGCTGTGTCCTGCTACTTCCATACACCATCTGACCATTCAGCAAGTGGATCCCGCATGACGTGGAACGTCGATGAACTTTGTTCGAGCTCCAATCTGCATCGCTAAAGGACTCAAGGATCCAAACCTTTTCATCTGTGGACTTGCAACGTCCATGGCCAGCTATCGGTTTCTCAAGCACAACTGCAAAGTCATCTGTGCTGCGTAAGTAGCCAATCACCTTCCGGAGTCTCTGCACTGCAACTGTTGTAGGACAACTCATCTTCTGTGAAAGTTCTTTTACCACAAAAAGCAAATCTGGTCTGTCTCGCGCAAGATAGAGCAGCATACCTACCACTGATCGGTAGTGGAAGGCTTCTTCACTGGAGAGTGGACTCGAGAGGTCCTCCATCTGGATTGTGTTGTCACATGGAATTGTCTGCCGTCGCGCGTTTCCAAAGCTTTGCTCAAACATTTGGATCACCTTGTTCACATCTGTACCTGGAACCAACGCAAGACCACATGGGAGTCTCACCAGCTTTCGTTTCAAGAAACTGATTGAACTGCCAACTTCACCAAGCGCTGTAGCACTGATGGTAAACTGTTCACCAAGCTTCTTCAGAAAAACTTCATTCCAGTACTTTGTGCTACCACAAAACATCACGTCATCCACATGGATCATCAAAGCGCATTCACTGTTTCTGCACAAGCATGGTTGCTCTGGGCACCACTCCATGTTGAAAGTTGAAGTCAAAAAGTCTCTGAAATGCCAATACCAGCACTTTGCACCTAGACGTTGACCTGGTAAGTTCTTCAACACGATATGGTTTCCCACAGAAAGTTGCACTCGAAGTGGGGTCGGTTGATCAACCATCAGGAATGCATCTTTCACATCCACTGTACCAAGCGTCACTTCAGTTGAATCTGCCTCGTTCATCTCCAACTGTGCCAGCTTTTCAAGAAACACCATAGGCAAAACATTCATCACATGTGAAGAGGTTGCTGGAGAGAAGGTGTCTGAACGTTTCTCTTTGAACGCAAATTCTCGTGCTACAAGACGAGATCTTCTCAACCATTTCTTTCCATCTCCAAAAGGTTTCAAACGCCAATCATGTACATGCTTGGTCGTTAACTTTGCTTTCACTGGCTCTCCACTGTAGAGCTCCTCCTCAATCAGGACTTTCATGCTTTTCAAACGTTCTACCTCAACTCTGTCAGCAAGCTCATCCACCCAAAACGGTGGTTCAGGTGGTAAAGCAGCGATTGGAAAATCACTCCACAACTCATCTGGCATTCCATCAAGCTTGACACTGTCTTCATCCCACCATGGGTCAGTTGGGTCAAAGTTTTGCTCCAACTGCAAGTCTGTGTCATACTCATCCATGGTGAAAAACTCATCATCTGCTACCTTGACTGTTCTGATCATGTTGGTGTATTCAGCTGTCAAACGCTCGATACGCTGTTTCTTCTGCGCTTCAACTCTTGATCTCTTGCTATCATGCTCATCTGGAACATCATCACGCGCACGTGTTGAATGACTCATTCTGGGAGTCGAAGGCTGAGCTGTTGAAGGAGGAATTGGAGAAACAGGAGGTTGCACAACTGAGACATCTTGCTCGACATTGCTACCTACCATTGCCTCTGCAGCATTGCCAACACCTGCACCCTGATCATCGTCAGACATTTCAGGCTCAACTGCTTGCATCTGTAAAGGTAACAGCTTTCGAATCATCAATTGCAACTCTCGGTCTGTCATGAAGCATCATTCCAGCTAGCTCTCTGTCCTCCTGGGCCTCTTCTCGAGCCTTTGCACGTACTGCTTCACCTTCCTCCTCAAAGAAAGATGAGTGTTCAATGGCTCCTTGCGGCAAACTGAAACTTGAACCAATTGGGTCACGGTTCACCTTGGTGGGCACGATTCTGCCTCCAAGTCCAGCTTTGAATTCCCAAGAAGCACTTTTGAAATTTTGAAAGAAGCATAGAAGGACAAATGACTCTTCCAGCTCGTTGATACCCTGCGCACTGACTTTGTCAAAATGATGTTCTCTCCATCAAAGCATAAGAAACTGTCTTGGCTTTCAACCTTTCCCAAAAAGATCATACGTTTCCATCGGGCATCTCCTTTGTTTGGACCACGCGCATAGCCAAATACTGGCTCACCAAACTGACAAATTGAACCTGAGTACCCTTTGCCATAAACCAGCTCATAAGGCGTCATGCCCTTCTGAGGAGCATACCTGTTGAGTATCCAGCATGCGTGTCTCATGCCCCAAGTCCAAATTGGATGATTGGTTGAAAACTTCATGTTGAGCTTGTCAAACAACGCATACATCAATGTGCCTGTCAAACCTCTGATCCTACCAATGCAATTCTCTGCAAGTGCATTGCCATGTGAGTAAGGAGGCGGCGTGTGGCTCCTTGTTGGATACCCCATCTTGAGTCGAGTATCCACCACAAGTTTGAGAAGTTGTCGTGCTGTGGGCTCATTGTCAGCACGGTATGTTACCTCATGATACCCCAAAAGTTGAGGAAAAGCCACCAACTCCTGCACCATCAAATGATACTGACCCTTGCTTCTGACAGGAACACAACCAATGAATCCAGTTTGACTGTCAACGTAAACCAAAGCAATCATAGTGCCAACCTGTTCATCTTCTGATCCAGCTACTGACTTCGTGTATGCAAAATCAAATGAAATGCACGGGATTGAGGAAGCTTTCACCTGATCATTCCTCATCTGCTTGTCAGCTCTCGCTCTGAAACAAACGCATGATGGGCACCATGGAGCATATGGTGTGTGTGTGAGATTGTGCTTTTCAACTTCTTTCTCATCAGGCGCAACTGCAAGAGGTGGAGACTGAGGATCACGCTGCAAATTGGCATCCATACGATGGGCAGCAGCATCAATGAGTTCAAGTTCAAGCTGTTTCATGTGTCCAACAAGCCGTTTGTAACACTTGTCTTTGCCACCACTAGTTGAGAGATTGTAGTGAGTACATGCCGCACGTAAATCAGCTAACTTGCTCACACGTGTCAACTCAACACCATTGACTACAAGTTTGTCTTCATCAAAAGGCTGAATGACATACGCACCTACAGGAAGTTCAGCTCGTGCTGGAGGAATTTCAACACCCTGCAGCTCATCTTCAGGGGCCATCATGCCCTCAGCTGATTCATCATCAACGTTTGAAGAACCTTGCACAGGCTGTGCAGCATCACCATCATCTTCAAAATGAAAACCCATGAGACGTGGATCTTTCTCTCCATCTGTCACTACCGTAAGCACATCCCTTGGACCATACAGCTCATGAAATTTTGCACTGAGATCAATGATTGAACCAATGTGCTCGCAAAGTTCCATCACCAGCCAACATCCTTGTTCCATGACCAGTGTTGTGCGGTACTTGGGTCCAGACATGCCAGGCACTGCAAGAGTGGGGTCTTGGAAACACTCATCAAAGTGTCTACCAACGCCACATCCATTTGCGTCTAAATTCCAGCCAATGGGTCCATGTTGAAGCTCTGCATTCACTTGAGCTTTCACTGCACAAATTGCATGGCTCATTTCAGCTACTGGTTCATCTTTCTGTTCACTAACCGCTCTGATCCATCCTCTCACCGTCATGCTTCTGTTCTGCAACTCAATTGGCACCTTGACACCTGCTTCAGCATGCATGAGAACCTGTTCACGGCTGCAAACACCCCATCCAGCTTCAAGCAATTTCCCAAAGCAAAGAATTGGTTGTTGAATCTGATCACTGATGGCAACGTGCTCCTTGATAACTATCATTTGTCCACCTTGATCCATGAGATGGACCTCAATGTCACGCATTCCCAGGACTGGGATTGACCTTCCCTGGGCATCATGTAGTTTTGTCACTGCAGCATCTGATTCCACTCCAGCTTCTGCAAAACGCGCTGGAAAAACTGCTGCATCAGCACCACTGTCGAGAAGAATGGCGCTCATCTCCTCATCAGGAAGTTCTGTCACCATGGCACGCACACCAGCAATCTTTGGAGAATCATCTGGCTCATCTCCAATGAAAAAGTGAATCACACGCACTGAGCTCTCATCTTCATGCATTGCTTGAGAACGCAAATCAAAAATGAATGGTTCACCATCTCCTCTTTGAGGAACATCAACTGAATTCTCAAAAATACGTGAAACTCTGTACGTTGAAGACTGCTGTGCTTTCTGGCCAGACTGTTGATTCGAAGAAGATTGGGCTGAGCTCGAAGACTGTTGATTGGTTGATCCCACATTGCTCCATGAGCTATTTGACTGAGAAGTTGTTGAAGGTGGGTTCACTGATTCAGTCTGAGCGCTTCTGACCATTTGCCAGCAATCCTTGGCGTAGTGACCAACGCCACCGCAATTGTAACATTGCTTTTCACCCTTGG